GCCTGGGACCTCAAGCTCCTCGGAGTTGACATCATCGTCACCCCAGAACTCAATGGCATCCCAGACTGCATTGCAATCCCAGACCACGTCAGGGCGCTCATGGCGAAATAAGTGGTGGATGGAAGCCACGGTATCCCTCAGAAGCTTGTTATACTTGGCCTTCTCGGATGCGTTAAACTCGTCTAACTCGAAGAAGGAAGCCTTGGCGGTTTCCCTGGCCTCATTCAGCTCTGCTTCCCGCTTGACCTCCATGGCGGCCAAGCTAGACTCCAGTTCCTTCACCTTTTCAGATAACCACTTCTGTCGCTCGGCGGTCTCCAACGCCTCTCTCCTGACGCGTCCCATCTCCTTCTCCACTTTAGCAAGATCGCCCTTCGCGGCCGCCAACTCCGCGTCTTTGGTTTGCAAGACGGTCTCCTGCTCCTTAAGGATCTCGTCGCCCAATTCATGCCGCAACCCGTCTCGCCCCTCCGCCAGCTGATCCGCCAGCTTCACGATCCGGGTGTCGCGGTCATCCAGGTCGCCTTGCAGCCGGTCATTGTGAAGCATCAGCTGGTTGATCCCAAACTGAGCCTGCGTAACAAAAATAAAGTAAGTAGGTAGCAAGCAGATAAATAAACAAGTCAAATACTTAGTCAGCATACGTACCGCGAAGAAGCACCGAGCGGTCGCCGCCGCCAGATGGCGAGTGTCGGAAGTCAGCACGGGAGTTCCAGTCACGCGGGTGTACTCGCTGGGGATGGCGAACCCTTCGGCAATAACGTGCATGGAACGCTTAGCCGGCTCGGCGAAAGTGGTCACTTGCGGGGAGTAGGACGCGTTGGAAGTGAGCTCGGTGGTCTTCTGGGCCGAGTAGGCAGCTAGAGGGCCGGGGCACGGCTTCTCGATAAGGATGCCCTTCATCCTTTGCTGCCCTGCAGGCGGCTGACCCTCCTTGATCGCCTCAGCTTCTAGAGGGCGCTTCGCAGCGCCACAGCCCTCTCCCTGACCAACGAGCACTGTTAGCTTCAGCACCCCTGAGCGTCCCAGTGCTAACTGCGACTGGGTAGAACCGCCAGCGGTGCGTTGCCCCTCTGAACCGCCCGTCGCAGAAGGGGCGGCAGACTTCGAGCCACTGCCCGTTATCTTGGGCGATCTCGTTGACGATGCATATCGTCGGATCCCTGCAAAGTAAACCCATAAGTAGAGGATATGAGAAATCGCCATCATATTCAAACTAAAGAAGACTAACTAACCGTGAAAACGCCAAACGATCTCAAGAGCATTATCATGCCCATGCGGAGGTAAGCGAAACTGAACGGTAGACATGATGCGCTTCAGATGAGGTTTAAGGTGATGAAGGTCTTTAACGCCTGCATCCCAATCATCTCTATTCCTGATCACATACCTGGTCAGTGGCTCGCTGTCGCCCGAGTACCATTTCCCGCTCGGGCGAGCAAAGAAGTACTCTGTGTACCAAGGGGAATCCAGCTTTGACGACCCATAGACAAACCCTATGCGTTTGTCACGCCTACGACACGACCAGCAACTCTTAGAGCCGCTCATGGCGTAGAGAAGGCGGAAGGCATCGATAGACGCCTCCTCCTTCACCCGGTCGCAGGCGGCTTGGTAGCAAAGGGAATGAAAGACGATGGACGGAGAAAGGCGGCTCAAAGAGCAGTTAAGATGCAGCAAAATCTCATTCAACAGTGGGTCCAAAGGGAATTCCAAGCCTAACCGCACATGCTCCACGAAAACGGTAATCCATCCCACCGGGCATGACCTACAGCGACCGGTCGCGGAAGGAGCGGCATATTCCCAGTCAGTTGGTAGCTCATGCCGCTTGAGCTGCTTGAGCACTTGAGCGGGGGAGTACGCGGGGTCATAGGGCGGTCTGTATTCATATACAGTCGCAGGAACCTCCTCGCCTTTCCACATGTCCTCGTGAAGGCACACGCGGTACGTGTCATCCGCAACCGCCTGAAAGGGGTGGACATGAGGCGCCTCCGGCAGCGCCAGAGACGGAGAGTTGGCAACGGAGTCCTCCACACCCCCATCCTCGGGATCATCTCCCGGAGCGCTCTCCGATGACAATTGGACAAGAGGCAGCCTCGTCGTTGAACCGCCTCCAGAAGCGGGCATACCGAATGTAACAAGGTTGTCGCCGACCTTAGAGGTGGCCCCTTGCTCAGCCAGAGAAATAGCTGTATCGACCAAGGCCCCCCCTCTAACCCTAAAACACAACCTTCAGGCCTATCTAACCGCTCTCGCAATTCAACAGTATTATCACAACCGCATAATAGTTCAATACCCTCCGAGTCCCATTCTATATCAGATAAACTTAGAGGAGAGGAAAGGTCAGGCGTACCTTGCGCGACCTGCGCTGTCCCAATAGAAGGACCGCTCGTGCCAGCAGTCTTAGAAGCAGGGCGAGGAGCCCCTGTTCCGGCACCAGAAGCCGTAACGTCGCCGGAGGTGGTGGCCGTAACGGCGTCGAAAGTGGTGGCCGCAACAACATTGGAGGCAGAGGGCGGCGGAACATCGCCTGAAAGATCGCGATTCTGGCTGTCGGAGGGAGTCGTCGATCGAGAGCTGATCGCCATTAGCAGTCTTCGGGCTTTTCTTTTTGATCGTTTTTTACCTCGCCTCAGCGCAGTGAGATAAGCAAATCGCTCAGCTGAGAGAGAAGAATGAGTCTCCAGGTAACGAGAGAGCGAAAACTTGGAGCAGCGAGCAATTTTGGAGAGGATGAAGAAGAGCATAAGCAAATGCAAAGTGTCTGGAAAAATGGAATTTTCGCAAATATATAGCAACAGGAGAGAGGAAGAAGGCGATGTGACGGTTGAGTGCCCGAGGTGCAGGCCTAGTCTACGAAATTCAGAAACACGGGCAGCGAAAGGACGACTGGCCTGCCCGTTGTTAGAGCTGGGAAAATGAGCCTCGCCACGTGTGCGACGCGCCTCCAAGTGGAGAGCGCGATATCAAGCTTCCTAGCCACTCATGGGGTTGAGCAGGGCGCGAACCGCTCACGGGGTTTTCGCCGCGCGTAAGATGCGCCTCCCAGGAGAAGGTGCGATGCGGCTAGGGTAAGGCCCATGCGGGTCGATCCCATGTCCTTGCCGACTAGGGGCAAGGCAGGAGGTAAGCAAGGTGTGAACCGCTCAACTAGCTGGGAGTTTTCTCTATAGCCGCCAAAAACCTAGGCTTTTCCAGCCTAAGGGGCAATTGTTGGGCCACGTAGTTGAGCGGTCATGGGCCTCGGGGCCCAGGAGGTAAGTGCCAGCGGATTGGGCCCAATGGAGTATCCGACCCGGCCAGGGAAACCAGGTTGACAGGCGGTGTCAGGCTGACTCCGAACCCAAGGAGTGTCCAGAACCGCCTGACATAAAGCGACTGACAACGACAGAAAACAAAGATCCGTTGAGATACGTACCTCGGGCTGGGTAAGACTGAGCATTTATTGCCCGCCGCAGGCGGTCCACCTAGGGAGTAGATCTGTCAGGGACGCCTGACGTAACATTAAATGACTCAACCACCACCACACCAGGTATAAATGCACCATGCGAGCATTGATGGTAAACTCAACTACTCTCTCTCTCTAGAACAAACACATTACTATACACTTCTCTATCTAACTTACGAAATGCATAGTGTCCCAGGCAACCGCCTGCGGACCCTTGTTTTGCAAAGCTCTGGAGTGCACCCTCCCTCCAAGAACAGACGCATCACCCTTGTCCTACAAACCGCCTAGTATTTACTAGGCACAAACAATTAGAAGTAATAATTTTATAACACTTTTTTAGTTTATTTTCAAATGCTTACTAACCTAACTAACCCTCAACAACAAGCAAAATATGTCATGATTTTCTAGAATTACGATGTGAAGAGTAGGGCAGAGGGTTGGGGTATACAGGAGCTATCATAAGAACTGAAGAATTTGCTTCGTGAAGATTAGCTACAAATTTTCTTAATCCTTTGGTTTGTTTGCACGCTTAAGCACGTCTCACTTCGATTAATTGCATCTCACACCAATTAATCGTGTCTAGTTTTGAATAGTAGCCGCATACGCATTATGAGCACCTTATTATCTTCCTAGGGCCTAAGCATTTTGTCAATGCCACCATCTAGGCGTGCACTAAATTACTCTTTCTTGAAATTTGATAAATATACTAAATTTCTAATATAATTAGTTTATCATAAATATAACCCACATATTATCACACGACAATTAAGACAATTAAACATTTATTATGAATACAGTCAATCTGCTGTCTTCAATAATTATTGAACTAATCATTCATTTCAACTAAGTATTCCTGGTGTTCTAAAGAAAACATGGAACCCCTTTATTGTATCCTTCATAAGTTTGTCCCACTAGATTAACAATTATACTTTCTTTTTAAAAGATGCATAAAAATATTTAATAACTCCATTAAAAAGGGTTTAATAAATAATCATTCGTACGCTTTATTAGTAAAACTACAACTAGTCCTACAGAAATTCGTTTATTTATTATGTAAATATATTATTATTAAACAAAAAATTCCCTCACCACCAGCTGTAGATTAGATTAGAGAATAGAGGCAGAGAAGAAAACTTGAAAAAAGGAAAAAAAAATGTTTTGTAAGGAAAAGGAAAGGGAAAGCAAGAAGAAGAAAGAAACGACTCTCTCCCTCTGTCCTTCTGTCTCTCTCTTCCTTAGCTTCTTCTTCCTTTCCCCTTCCAAGGTTCCCAGAAACGGCAATGAGAGCGCGAAAATCCCTAATCTTAAACCCTAGGATTCTGCCGATTTCAGAGGAAGAAAGCGGGGGAGATAAGAGAAAGAGAGAGACTGTTTCCTTATTCCATTTCCTCCGTCTAGCTCTGCGTTGATGACGAGATTGTGAAAATTTTCCCCAATTCCTCCACTTCTCTGAAAAATTCTCATTTCCTTCCAATTTCTCTGTAATTCGTCCTCTCTCGCCTCCCAAACCCTAGCCCTAGGAACATCAGAGGAGGAAGGGAGAGAGAAGGAAGCAAAAATGGCTACCAGAGGGAGCAGATCGGAGAAGGTGAAGAGGATTTTCCAGCAGTTCGACCTCAACAGCGACGGCGGGCTCAACAGGGAGGAAATGGCTGCTCTGGTGGTGGCCGTCAACCCTCGGGTGAAATTCAGCGAGGAGCAAATCAATGCCATCCTCGACGAGGTGTTCCGGACGTACGGCGAGTTCATCGACGGGGACAAAGGCTTGACTTACGAGGGGCTTTTGCGAACCTATGACGACGGAGCCGGCGACGTCGACCGTGACTTCGACGCGCTGGAGCTGGAGCTCAATTCGGACGATAACAATAACAACAACAAAGGGATCTCGGAAGCGGCGGAGGCGTCTTCGTCGATTGCCGACGAGGGAGTGATGGAGGCCCAGAAGAAGCAGCGGACGGCGGCGTGGGCGGTCTCTCCTAACCACGGTATTGTGTTCGACGATACTTGGAAGATAGTCGATGATTTGGAGATTTTGATCAAGAGGTTGAAAGCCAAGCAGGCTAAAGACGGGAAATTGAAAGGGGATAACGTTGATACTTTCTCCGACGCCGGTTGGTCGAGGGAGTTGGGTCCCTCATCCGAGATCTCTGATAAGAGGATTATCTGGGAAGAGTCCGGGCATGATTATACATCCTTCGTGAAGGAATTGGCAGCTTTGAGGACTAGAGCTGATGGGGCGAGATCCAGAGAAGAAGCATTTGATGGGCATATGGCAATTGGGAGGGTTTTATATGAGCATCAGTTGTTCAAGGAAGCTTTATTTAGTTTCAAAAGAGCTTGTGAGCTTCAGCCCGTGGATGTGAGGCCGCATTTCAGAACTGGGAATTGTCTGTATGTTCTTGGCAGATATAGAGAGGCCAAAGAGGAGTTCTTGCTGGCACTTGAGGCAGCTGAGGCAGGTGGGAATCAGTGGACATATTTGCTACCTCAGATTTATGTTAATCTTGGCATTGCACTGGAAGGTGAAGGTATGGTTCTAAGTGCTTGTGAATATTACAGAGAAGCTGCTATTCTTTGTCCAACACATTACAGAGCTTTGAAGTTATTAGGTAGTGCCCTTTTTGGGGTGGGAGAATACAGGGCAGCTGTTAAGGCCTTGGAAGAGGCGATTTATCTGAAACCAGACTATGCAGATGCTCATTGTGATTTAGCTTCTGCTCTGCATGCCATGGGAGAAGATGAGAAGGCTATAGAAGTGTTTCAGAAGGCAATAGATCTAAAACCTGGACATGTAGATGCTCTCTATAATCTCGGTGGGCTTTACATGGACTTGGGTAGGTATCAGAGAGCTTCTGAGATGTATACCAGGGTGCTGACTTTATGGCCGAACCATTGGCGAGCTCAGCTGAACATGGCCGTTTCATTATTGGGTGCTGGAGAATCTGAGGAAGCAAAGAAAACCCTTAAGCAGGCTCTGAAAATGACCAATAGAGTCGAGTTGCATGATGCAATCTACCACTTGAAGCAGCTGCAGAAGAAGAAAGTCAAGCGCAATGGAACTACCAATGGTGAAAGTCCCTTTGTCACTGTGGAGCTCTCCAAGTTCAAAATCTTGGGCGAGAAAACCACACAGAGACAGGAGCTGCGCAATGCTCTTCAAATCAGGGCCTTCCAGAGGATCACTCGGTTGACTCGATGTGATGTGGAGCTTCTGAAGAAGGAAATGAGTGAGAATGATGTGCCTGTCTCTTACTCTGGTGGTGGTGTACCCGAGAAGTCCATACGGAAGCCTAACTTGGAAGAGATTCTGAGGAAGTGGCTTAATTTCCTGAAACCCGAGATCTTCCAGGGAGCAGTGAAAGGAATCAACGAGAGGATACTTTCGGTTCTCGATGAGTCGGGTTCAGGAAGGGTCGATCTGGGTATGTTCTTTGCTGTTCTTGCACCCCTGTGCAGTGGTAGCCCCGAAAAGAGAAAACGGGTTGCCTTCGATGCTCTATATTGGCGACCTGTGAATGAAGGAGGTTTTCAGATCAAGAGGGTTGATGCTGTAGGGTACATCAAGCTGCTAAGAGCTATATACCTTCCGTCTCAAGGGATCAGTGAAATCCTGGAGGTTCATGGGGAAACCGATTCCTCCATTGTGTCGTTCAACGAGTTCCAAGTCATGTTTGACGATCGTGATTGGGGATTCGGTATCCTTTCGACCCTAGTGAAGCTAGAAGCTGGGGATAGGAATCGGCATGGTTCCCGTGTCTGCTCAGTTTGCCGGTACCCTATCATTGGTTCCCGGTTCAAGGAGATGAAATCGAGCTTCAACCTGTGTAGTCAGTGCTATGGTGAGGGAAAAGTACCGTCTTCTTCAAGGCAGCTGGAGGAGTATAAGTTCAAAGAGTATGGAAGTGAATCGGATGCGATGAAAGATAAATGCTTGTGCTTTCCAGTTCATTCTAGTGAAGAGTAATGAAAATGATCTCTCTCTCCTCCCTCTTTTTGTTGATTCTGTATCCACTCTCTTTTTTTGTGAAATAGATATAGGTTACCTGTTCAGCGAGCTGTTTGTACAATTTTTATGTGACCATTCTAATTAGGGTTCCTGTAAGCTCTTCTTATTTCATGTTTCTCAAGAGGTTAACTTGTACTGAGCATTGTCCGACCATTTGACCTTCTTTTCTTTTGACCATGGTTAGTAAATGAAGATGGAGAGTTCTTGAGGGTGTTGATGTGAATTTCTTAGCTTTGCCCAAGTCCCTGTCAACTTCTGTTGGAGTTCCCTTTGGTATTTCAAGTTTATGAATTGATTGGTTGGAGTTTGGCTGTTAAGGTTTGGGACATAGTCGCTGTCATGTTTTAAATAATGTAATGGAAGCTGTTGGATTTTAGTTACACAAATGATGTTGATGAATGATGATGGGGATTGTTATGATTTTGTGTTCCAAGTTGCAGAGATGTTAAGAACACTAGGTGATTTTGACATACACCCTATTTGGGGTATAATTCTATACCATCTTATCTAAATCTTTCAATAAGTTACGTTATTTGTCATCAACAAGTAAAGTGAGAGGAGGCATGCACTTTTCGTTTCACCAATTTATATTATTTCATACTATATAATCTAACTTTTGGTTAATTTGATGTTATTAGTCATTGTTGATGACTTTTCTTTATATAAGACGTTTGTATTTCAATTTTTTCATGCAACTGTTACATTTTTTTTGTATGAATCATTACTTTAAAATGAGACAATCAATTATATTCTATGTTTTTGTACGCATTATGTAATCTATTTGTACCATATACAAGATAAGAACAAATTTCGATACATTCGCTCACTCATTGTGCGAACTTTGAAAATCTTACTAAAAGTTAACACAGATCAAAACTTAGCCGTGAGCATTTATCTCTTAAGTACCTTTCTTGTATGCCAAGTTAGTGGACGGTTTATTTATGAATAAGCTCCTGTCAATGAATACGTTTCCTTCCTAGACAAGTCAATTGGCTCTTTAGCCTTTAGTGTCCCCTTTATTTTGGGCTTCCATCATTATCCAACTCAGATTTGGGGTCAATCACCGGTGAGAACCGAATCAACAATTCAATTGTCAAGTTTAAGAATGATAATGGTGACAGATTAGGAAGAAAAAGTGTTCTTTTAATGTCCATCATCATTATCCCACCCATAACCCATTACTATCATTATGCTTATTTTAACTTGTTAACCTAACCACCTAGCTTTAACAAAACAAAAAACAAAAAAACAAAAAAGAAACAAACAGATTTCAAAAGGAAAGACTCCATGTAGCAAAGCAATCATTACTGATTACCGACATTTTGTGCAAATTTGCTAGACTAGCATTACGAGGATCTGGCATCCTATAGCTTACAAATTACAAGTACATTATGGTTCAAGCAGATTAGGCGATCCAGAGTATAGTTGCTATCTCGCTAGATATGAGTATAGTTTCACTTGGGGAAAAAATCATATGGTTTCTCGTTGAAGGTATAAATAGGATGATTGTATGTAGTTGGCCTGCTCGATATTGAACGGACAAAAATCTGATATCGTTGAACCATTGTGTTAAACTCCAACTACCAAACCAATTTGAGCGCACATACATCATCTCTGTTTACTCAAATATTGTGATGAAATCACCTCTTTGACTTGCTTCGAAGGCGTGATCAAAACCCACAGTAAACAAGTGAAAGTGAAAAAGACTGGTAAAAGACAAAAGAGAAGATGATCGATCATATGGTAACAAAACAAAAGTAAAGAAAAGATTCCAGATTTTGGCTGTATATTCACTCGGAAGAAAAGTGTTCCACAAATTGGGGTTTTCCCCCTCAGCAATGATATACCAGAAAGCGACTCTAGTGACGAAATTAAGGACTCTAAGATTCCCCTTTGTGATGCCTTCGCACGTTGATTTGCATCTGATCAGTTGATGTCATGTTCTCCACTATGGCCAATAACTAATTACAAGTTATAATTATCTCTTAATCATGCACTAATTTTGGTATTTGTAAAATCTTTAACAATGCAAAGCTAATTCGGAATCGGAATTGGTGAATGGGGGCAACCGATTGAGTTTGTTGTTAAATGAGATCATTATAATTAACTAAACTCGTTGAAATATAAATAGACCGCGAACAAGAACAACCATGTTCATCGATCCAAATTCAGATTTCATTGGATTCTCTTTGTTTGAGGTTAGTCTTATTCCTTCACGGTTTGGAAGAAGCACATGGCAATTCGGTCATGATTCAATTGTGCTATAACCTGTCTCGATTTCTGAGTGGTAAAGTCTGATTTACGAGTCTTCTTCCAACTCGCATCGCGTTATCTCACTCTATTATGATTCAGTCTCTCCAAACTCTCTTTAGTATCTCTTCTGTTAAAATTTTCTCTAACCATATATATAGCTACTCTAATGTAACATCCCAGTGAGTCTCAATTACTCGAATGGCAAGTAAATTGAGACAAAACTAGACCAAATCGACTATCTATTCTAATTCGAATTTGAATTTTGAGAGATCCTCTTTCTTTATACAATTGAGAGATTTATTTTCGTTTTGGATCAATCTCATGTACTTTGATTTTGATTCCTGATCAGACCTGCACACCCACTAGCTGAAACCAACAAAATAGGCTCCTCTAACGTAACTACTACTTCTGAGCTAACCCCAACCTCCGTGGAAGTGCACGCAAAAACCATGCAGACAGATACATCATGCAAGTGATGTGAGCAAAGGTATAAATATATGATTATGGGGTAATACACCCTGCAACCACCATTCCAATCTCCACCTTCTTGATCTTTTCCCAAATAAATATGGGCAAACCACAATATGCAGAAGGACACAGCAAAGAAAAATCAGCAACATAGACCAGACGAGCTTAAGTGAGAAGCCGGTTGATCACTTCTCGATCATGATCAAAGTAGTGGCAATGGCCCTGGCAATCCTCCTGCTAATCGCGTCGCCAGCAGCATCATCATCATCGCCAAGAACAAGATCGTTGTTCTTAGTACATGCGGATGGACAGGTACCGATTCCACCACCTGTTCGTCCAGTTCAAGATCAACAACGGGTGCACGAAGAAGATTACGGGGTCTATGATCCTGTGCCTGTCGTCAAAGGATGCAGACATGCCCCAGTACCCCATGCCCGACGACTATGAATCTATGATCATGAACAAGAATGAATGATATGGTCTTGACTTCCTAGCTTTTTAACTTTTGTTTTTACAGAAGCCCTTTTCTGGGTTTCCTTCCCTATTAGGTCTGTTTCTTCAGTCCCACGCCATTATGCAGAGTGAGAACTATCAATGAGGCCAGTGCCAATAAGTTGTATTATCACACGAGTGTTCAACTTTCAGTTTCTGAGTGGTAATGAAGAACTACAGTCTACAATGTGAAAAAATGACAGGGCACAGTGCACAGAGAAGGTTCAATGCATGTCTTAAACAAAGCAGAAACATAAGATTAACTTGTTCATGCTTTCAGCAGAAGAGAAGTCTTAGAAAGCTTACATCTTGTGTTGAAGCATACAAGCCAACAAGCAAACAATAAATTATAGTTGAACGAAATACCCACGGGAAAATTGTGATGTACAAGCAACAAATTGTCCAGGTACTCGGCGTAGGCATCCATGAAGAACCAAGCAAATAGACCTCATCAAAACTTAAGTCCAGATAGCTCCACTTTCACGGTCTTTTTGTGCATTGTAATGTATGTTTGCTGAGCACTGACCTTGCTCCAACTTTACCTAAATAAAAAATGTAAATATCAAGTCAGTCTCCGGAGGTCTGCTGATAGTACCATAAGTAAACCCAGTTCCCATCTAGAAAGCTTCTTCAATTCAGGGCACGCATGTCACTAAATTAGTAATTTTTTTTATCAATAACTAGCATACCTTACCTAAGACTGATGGCAGAAGGACCAGCGATGGCAGCAACTCTCTGTGCACGCTGAGCTTCACCTCTATAGACATCCTTCGTTTCCTTTTTCAGACGCCTAGCTTCTCGCCTTTCCTCCTTCACAGCAGCCTGATAGCACAAAACTCGATATCAGCCGAACTCCTAAAGGGTTTCCTGGGGAACTAAGCAAGAGAAGATCAACGTGGGCAGGCATGAGATTTGACAAATCAGTAAAACTTATACCTTTCTCTCTTTTTTCTCTTCTTTAGACTCTTGGCCATGTTGCTTCCTTCTCAAAGGTTCAGTTCTCAAGCTCGGTCCATCCTTTGATGTTTCTGCTGCTAAAGCGTTTCTACTGCCAGGCAAAACGCCTACAGGAATCTTTTCTTTGCCCCGAAGAGATATAACAGGACCGGGAGCATTCAAAGCCTTAGAAAAAGTTTCAGCTATCTTCTTCTTCCTCGAAGCTCCAGGAGCTTGAATTTTAGAAGGGTGGTTATCGAGGTTCGAGTATGTAGTGACAATAGTTTCACAGTCCCACACCTCCGATTCGTCACTACTTTCCTCTACAAGAACAACTTCTCCCCCGTCATCCTCGTTTTCATACTTCTCGGCGTACTCTACAGTGCGGCGAAGGACATCAGCTGCAGTATTCAACAACTCTTCACTTCCGGGAGCCTCGTTACTACGTAATATATCTGCAGGTGCTCTGTATTTCCCCTCGAGTTCCATAGGGTCCATTGCTGAGGTATTTAGAACTGTTTTGAGCTTCTCTGCCAAACACTCATCTTCGTTTTCTCTATAACCACAGAAATCATCATCTTCCTCATCTGTGGCATACTCTTCCATTTCAAGCTGCAAAAGATGAACAGAGTATTAGAACCAAGGAAAAGCTTCAACAACCCATGCAGAAAGCTGTAGATGTTCAATCATTATCAACAGACAATGCAATACATGACTAATGGAAACATCTAACCACGCTCTTACCTGATCAAATTGCTCATCAAGAAGACGTCTGGGTCTTGCTTCAGGAATCAAATCACTATAGCCCC